ATTTAAAGGTGTGTTACTTGGCCCAGTACCCACATGTGGTAAAAATGTCATGACAATCCGTCCACAAGTGTTTGAGTAATGTTGTCCACAGACAGAACGACAGACAGACAGACGGACGGACGGACGGACGGACGGACGGACGGACGGACGGACGGACGGACGGACGGACGGACAGACAGACGCAACCAAAAACATTACCTCGCCCTTGGCGGGGGGAAAAAGAAAACCCTCACCAAAACTCTAATCATTTGACTTTGAAATAAAAAGAAAACTGTAAATGAGCCGACTCTGATGATCAAACGTCTGTTGCTCTAAACATTACTGAAAAATTCCAACTTGTTATTTGTCGTTTTAAAATATTGACAGAATACTACATTAATTCAATCATTTTATTTTTGGAAGAAATAAAATTATTTTAGATTTTAAATATCTGTGGGGCCAGATGAAGTGTTCAGGAGGGCCAGATTGGGCCCACAGGCCTTGAATTTGACACATTTGAACTAACACTCTAAAGGAAAAATGAGACTATCTCTGCTGCTCCATGCTGCTCTCTAGAGCCAGGATGAACATACATCGTATTTATTTGTAACTTTATAGACAAAACAAAAAGGAAAGTGGCTCTGGTTGCATTTAAAAGTTCTGACCCTGTTTCCCAGATAAACACAACTATTTTGAGCTATCATTTTATCAAGTCTAGTTTTTTTTTTGTTTGTTTTAATCTTGTTACAGTTATAACAGCCTGACAGAGGTGGAGGGCTCAGAATTCAAGTCTCTGCGACAGCTGGAGATGCTGATGTTGCATGGAAACGACATCAACATGGTTCACTATGGGGCCTTCTACAGTCTGAGGTCCCTGCAGGTAGGCTTCTGCTCTGAATGTGAAGATATGTGGAAAAGTATGGGAAATGCTTGGTTGCAGTAAAGCAAAGACAAAATGCAAAAGTAATAATAATAATAAAACAAATTCTTCAAACTTTTCCACAAAAACCTACAAGGTCCACAGCTCAGGCAGATTGAAACCTCAAGGTCTAAACAGAAAAGTGGACTTAGGGATTTTCTCTATAAAACTGGAAAAATAATTGGGCGGCTGTGGCAGAGTGGTTAGGGGAGTCGTCCTGGTCCAATTGTTGTAAGTAAGTAAGTAGTAAGTAAAGGTACTGTACAATCATTAACAGTTTAAAAATAGTGGAAAGACTAAAATGAAACACGAAAATTTAATTAAACATAAGCAACGAAAATTGAAACATCAAATCAAGAATTAATTTCTAAAATTGTAAATCAAACATAAGGTCAATGCAGGGCAAAATATACAGTAATACACAAAAACACAATGAATGTGAGACAGAAAAATATAGTGTATGTTCAATAATAAAAAAAAAAAACAACAACAAAGATTAGTCAAGCATTCACTATGGAGGTAGGCCGGCATTTATGGTGAAATGAATAGCTAAACACTTGAGAGAAAAAGTGAGTATTTAGGAGTTTCTTGAAAGAGACAATGGGCCTCATGGAAGAACATGTTCGTATTCTTATCCTAAATTTCTCTTACTTTTGTTCGTACAAAGGGTTCGTACGAACATGTCACGTCAGATTCAACAAACTCTTCTATCTGAAAAGAGTGTAAATGAGCTATGTAAATTACACCTGTTCGTATCCAGCTGCTCGTGCACGCAAGAGGAGATTAGCAT